ACCCTTTCGCATAGGTCGCCTAAGACAATCGGAAAAACATAAATTCATTAAAGTGATAAAAAAAATTATTATCTGTGGATCGCTACAGTATAAGGGAACTGTATCAAAGGGTCGCTACAGTATAAGGGAACTGTATCAAAGGGTCGCTACAGTATAAGGGAACTGTATCAAAGGGTCGCTACAGTATAAGGGAACTGTATCAAAGGGTCGCTACAGTATAAGGGAACTGTATCAAAGGGTCGCTACAGTATAAGGGAACTGTATCAAAGGGTCGCGGCGTCAGGAAGGTTGAGAGCCGCTGCTCCAGACAGAAGACACAAGACGTGATGATGACGATCACAGTGATGATGATCACAGTTAAGACGATCCCAGTGATGATGATCCCAGTGACGACGATCACAGTGACGACGATCGCAGTGACGACGATCACAGTTAAGACGATCGCAGTGACGACGATCCCAGTGAGGACGATCACAGTTGAGACGATCTCAGTGACGACGATCGCAGTGACGACGATCACAGTGATGACGATCACAGTGATGACGATCACAGTTAAGACAATCACAGTGATGACGATCACAGTAATGACGATCACAGTAATGACGATCACAGTGATGACGATCACAGTTAAGACAATCACGGTGATGACGATCACAGTTAAGACAATCACGGTGATGACGATCACAGTTAAGACAATCATGGAGATGACGATCACAGTAATGACGATCACAGTGATGACGATCACAGTTAAGACAAACACAGTGATGACGATCACAGTTAAGACAATCACGGTGATGACTATCACAGTTAAGACAATCATGGTGATGACGATCACAGTTAAGACAATCATGGTGATGACGATCACAGTAATGACGATCACAGTTATGATGATCACAGTTAAGACAATCATGGTGATGACGATCACAGTAATGACGATCACAGTTATGACTATCACAGTTAAGACAATCATGGTAATGAAGATCACAGTTATGACTATCACAGTTAAGACAATCATGGTGATGACGATCACAGTAATGACGATCACAGTGATGACGATCACAGTTAAGACAATCATGGTGATGACGATCACATTTAAGACAATCACGGTGATGACGATCACAGTTAAGACAATCATGGTGATGACGATCACAGTAATGACGATCACAGTGATGACGATCACAGTTAAGACAATCACGGTGATGACGATCACAGTTAAGACAATCACGGTGATGACGATCACAGTTAAGACAATCATGGTGATGACGATCTCAGTAATGACGATCACGGTAATGACGATCACAGTAATGACGATCACAGTAATGACGATCACAGTGATGACGATCACATTTAAGACAATCACGGTGATGACGATCACAGTTAAGACGATCACAGTGATGACGATCACAGTAATGACGATCACAATGACTACAATAAAATATGTAAGCTATTTCTTTTCATTTCGTTTGTGTTACTCCAACCCCCCCCCCCCCCCCTCCTTCCCCATCCACAGAACAAATGCCAAGGTCAGAGAGTGGAAACTGTCCTGAAAGAGTACCTGAAGCAGGAGGAAGCCTCTGGAAAGAAAACGTCAAGATCTGCCGTGGGGACTAGAAGTGTCAGCGCCCGACGAGGCAACGATGCTGCCCCGAAAGACAAATCTATCCATGGCAAGAAATCGAAGTCTGGTTCAAGCAAGAGCAACTCCAATGGGAAAAAGAAGTGAATCTATGACAGCTACTTATCTTTGATTTTTGGGGGGGGACAACAGATGAGAGAAGCTTCACGTCTGCGTGTGGTTATTTTTATTTCGTGAGTTGGCATGGGCAACTGAAAGCGCAATATACTATATGTAATTACCTTACTGAAAAGATTGTATGTAGTAAAGGTTTATAGCTGTCAAGGTTATAAAAAATACCGCCTTCATTTTGTTAAGGTTTGTACATGTGAATGTCAGCTGCTAGCTACTAGCACCAGCACCATCACGACTATCACTACTACTGCTGCTGCTGCTGCTGATGTTATATCTGGTGCTACTATTGCTGTTCTGATGGTACACAAGAGAATCTTTTTTACACAAATTAAACAGAGAAAGATATCATAGTCTTTATACCAGTCTCTCTCTCTCTCTCTCTCTCTCTCTCTCTCTCTCTCTCTCTCTCTCTCTCTCTCTTAATCTCTCTCTCTCAATCTCTTTCTCTCAATCTCTTTTTCTCAATCTCTCTCTCTCTCAATCTCTCTCTCTCACTCTCTCTCTCTTTTTCTCTCTCTCTGAGCGAACCCCTGATACAGTCAGTGTACATAAACACAACGGTTTCTAGCGACGTAAAGTGGGTACCTCTATAATGGGCTATCATTACCGAGGCCATACATTATGACACTCTCCTGCAACAGTGACGGTCCTAATGCGGTTGCCGTTCCTTCACAGACATTGTTATACCAAATTACCACAGATTTCAAGTTCACAGCGTTTTTGTAGGACATAATAGTAGCTTTTTATGGTCTGTGAAGGCTGTATCTTCTCATTCATTTCATTCATTCATTCATTCATTCATTCATTCATTCATTCATTCATTCATTCATTCATTCATTCATTCATTCATTCATTCATTCATTCTTTCATTCATTCATCATCCTCTTCTTCTCCTTCTCCTCCTGCTTCTTCTTTTCCTTCTTCATCTTCTTCTTGTTTAACTTCTTCTTTTTCTTCTTCTTCTTCTTCTTCTTCTTCTTCTTCTTCTTCTTCTTCTTCTTCTTCTTCTTCTTCTTCTTCTTCTTCTTCTTCTTCTTCTTCTTCTTCTTAGCGTTCATCTGCAGTAAACTCCAGCGGAAAAGTCTAAAACTATGCTCTTTCGTCCACTTCTAGACTTTGGCCTTGTTTCAGAACTTAAGTTTAGCATGCACATCCGTTTTAAAAATCTGGCTTTTCTTTACGAAAACTGTTGTTTCATCATCTCTCCGGCAAATGTACTCAACTTTAAAGGAACCAATTTGATGTTTACGACATGCTTGTTAGGGGACAGTGAGAACCCCCCCCCCCCCCTCTTTTTCCAACAGAACCCCGAAACTGAGGGGGGGGGGGAAGTGGGGGCAAGATTTAATAAGTGAACCATGGGTAGGAAAGTTCCCAAGCCAGAAGAGCTGTCAAGAGATGGATCTACTCTTAGGCAGACCGTAATAAGGCAGACGTGGTTAGTGCCTTGTGGGAGAGCGAGTACAGATCGGAGGAGCAGATGGATCACCACAGTTTGGTGAGATTGATGCAGCGGGGAGTGACGAGAGAATCTGGCAGATGCTCGAGGCTCAGAGGAAAGGCAAAACGAACGTTTAATCAGAATGCTACTGGCACCATTAACATTGGAACTCTTTGCTGGCTGCTGAAGATGGGGACGGAGCGCTTATGGAAATGCCCCGAGTGCTGTGATGTCAGTTCTTGAATCAAATCAAATCAAATCAGACAGACCGTATGGCAACGTTCTGCAAAGGACCTGCTATATCAGCGGCTGTCAAACTGCTGATAGCGACCTTTTTTTGGGTGGAACGACCCTTACATATGGGTGGGCCTAAGATCATCGTAAAACATATATTCACTGAAGTTATGAAGGAAAATAATTGTCTGGGCGTCGCCACAACATGAGGCGTCAATGCGCTAGGAAGGTTGAGGGCCACTGTGATCTACGATGACGCTGGTGGCACTGAAGGCGAAGGAATGCACTCACACATATTCTGTAACTGGAAGTCGCCTTTCCTTCAATACATGTAGATAGTAATCGATTACAGTTAGTTGCTTATCCTAGATAGATAAATATATACTCTCCCGTGTGGGTACCGGGGCCCCATTGTAGGGGAAACCAAGAATAGACCCACTGCCTCCCCAAAAGCATGTCGTAAGAGTCGACTAATTGGGGAGCTTCCTTTGAAGTCGGAGTGCATCTGTCGGAGAGGCAAGGAACCAACAGTCCGTATTCAAAAGAATGAGATCTGTAAAACTGATGCACACGCAACACTCAGGTTCTGAAGCAGGACTGCAGTTCAGTAGTGACGAACAACCAGAACTTTCCGCCAGAGTGTTCAGCTGGTGAAGAAGAGGAAAGAAAAAGAAGGAGACGGAGTGAAGGGAAGAAGGAAGAAGAAGAAAAGAAACGGAGAAGGAGGAGAAGAAAAGACTGAAAGGAGAAGAGAAAAAAGAAGAAGGAGAAGAAAGAAGAGAAGAAGGAGGAAGAAGAAGAGGAAGAAGAAGAAGAAGAGAAGAAGAAGGAGAAAGATGAAGAAGATAGACAGACGAGAAAGAAAGAAGGAGGAAGAAAGAAGAAGAAGAAGACAGAAGGAGAAGAGGAGGAGGAGAAGACAGAAGAAAGAAGGAAGAAGGAAGAAGAAGAAGAAGAAGAAGGAAGACGTAAGAAAAGAAGAAGAAGAAGAAGAAGAAGAAGAAGAAGAAGAAGAAGAAGAAGAAGAGGAAGAAGAAAGAAGAGAAAAGAAGAAGAGAGAAGAAGAAGAAGAAGAAGAAGAAGAGGAAGAAGAAAGAAGAAGAAAGAAGAAGAAGGAAGAAGAAGAAGAAGAAGAAGTAAGAAGACGAAGAAAGAAGAAGAGGAAGAAGAAGAAAAAAGAAGAAGAAGAAGAAGAAGAAGAAGAAGAAGAAGAAGAAGAAGAAGAAGAAGAAGAAGAAGAAGAAGAAGAAGAGAAGAAGAAGAAGAAGAAGAGAAGAAGAAGAGAGGAAGAAGAAGAAGAAGAAGAAGAGAAGAAGAAGAAAGAAGAAGAAGAAGAAGACAGAACGAAGAAGAAGAAGAAGAGAAGAAGAAGAAGAAGAAGCAAAGAAAGAAGAAGAAGAGAAGAAGAGAAGAGAAGAAGAAGAAGAAGAAGAAAAGAAGAAGAAGAAAGAAGAAGAAGAAAAGAAGAAGAAGAAAAAGAAGAAGCGAAGAAAGAAGAAGAAGAAGAAGAAAGAAGGGAAGAAAGAAAGAAGAAGAAGAAGAGAAGAAGAAGAAGAAGAAGGACGAAGAAGAAAG